TTTATCTGATAAGATAAAATACTATTTTTTTGACCTTTAAATCTGACGTACGAACACAGAAAAGTTCTTGGAGAAGGAAAGAATAAAATTTTTTTACATATATGAATTTAATGGGATAGAGCACATGATATCATTTGTAGCATCGCAAATTTCTTTCATGCTGTACTCAATATGATACTACCTACCACCTTCTGTTTTGGCAAAAGACCGTTATAGGGAATTTACAATAATCGTGTGACCAATTCACAATGTGATACAAGATTTTTATTTATATAATATTAATACATATATTAATATATGTACATTAAAATATACATTAAAAATAAAAATAAAATATTATTTGCATTAAATATTTTGAGAATAATACAATTTATTTGTTTCAAGATCAAAAAAAATTAGATCGATTTGATGCAAACTGGGCCTTTATATACATTTTTGAAGGAGTGTTAATCACGAAGTAGTAAGAAAGTCGAAAAGCTGTTTTTATGTCATATTTACAAATAATTACAGTAAACCTATATTATGAATCAATATTATATAGCAAGCCATAATGATGTTATTATGTTTCTTTGGTTATGAATTATATCCATTTAGATATATAACGTGAAGGCAATGACGATAATGTTTGAATAATTACGATAATAATAATGATATATGTATAAAGTAATGTTATGAAGATATGAAATAAGGATGATGTATATGTGGAATAATGTTGACAGATGCATTGTTGTTATAATAATAAACATCAAGAGAAATAAAGTGCATTTAACCAATATGGAAAATTTCATATCATAATCGTCGGCCGTTATATAAAACATATAGGTGAATTTCAAACAGGCCGTTATACATTATAGGAAATTTGATTAAAAGACCATTATAAAGTAAGGTTTTTTATGTAGTATTTTAAAAAAGATCGTCAATTAATTCTTTTTAATGAGGATTCATATGGAGTCGGATATTTGTTGTAAAGAGTGTATATGGCTGAAACCCATCAATTAGTTCTCATTTAACTGTCAAAAGGTTAAAATGTAAATCACTATCAGAAAGAGTACCATCACGGGAGAGTTGTTTATTACACGCCATTTAATTCTCCGCAATGATCATGAATAGCTGTTATTATATAGCACAGATCACCTAAAGATATCCAAAAACGCCGCTAATCTTTAAACGCTGATACTTTTCTAAACTTTTAAAACTCTCTGTTTTTGCAACATTCTAGACCTGAAAAATAATGTAAAGATATTTATTTTACAATACAAAATAAACTTTTAAATGATTTTCTTTTTCATAACCAGGGCGTAAGTATAGAACCACAGAATTGACGTGCTAACCAAATTTAAAATTTATAGCAATCAAATTGACCACACAAGAAAAACTAGAAAGGATATTAACAATATTTCTTTTTTTTGTTTTCGTATTCCTTAACATATTAATATTATAAATACTTAATTCTACCCATTGTCTAATTTTCACCTTCCTGACCTTGCGGCAACGTACTTTAACAGATCATTTGGAATCTTAAAAATATTGAATATATTGAAAAAAAGTAAATCCAATGCATTTTCAGATCGAGAATCCATTTTTTCCTTGTTTCATTTAAAATATTTGATTTCAAATTTAGTCAAAACTTCCTTATCCATTCTCACCATCTTCATCCCTTGATTTCAGGCTTTAAATAATCAATCACCTGGGACACAACAATACAATTAAGAATTTATGAAAAATGAAATGTAGTATTGTTCGTTTTACATTTTTTAACATTTATATTGGTGTGATTCTGAATTGAAGGAATTTATTTTCGAAATAAAAAAACCAAATAAAATAAATAATAAATATAAAAGATGATAAAAAATAATTAATTATCTACCCATCAACAATTTACCCAATTCTCCGACTCAACTACTTTAATCATATTTAAATTAATTAATTAACCAACTATTTAAATTTCATAATTTAATAAGCTATCATTACTTAAATTCAATTTAGCAAATTCGTCATTTAATATTCTACTTGTATGATATGCTAATGGATGTGATTTGTGCACTTGTTGTGAATCACTACTGCCAATACTACTAATACTATTATTATCATGATTATTATTGATAATTTCTTTTCGTTGATTACCAGCAAATTCCAAAAGCTCTTCAATAGGTGGTCTCTTGGCTGGATCTACATCCCAACACCTTTGCATCATTTGTGCATAATCACCAGGCATTCCTGGTAATATTGGTGGTCGTAAACCTGCACATATATTAAGCACTAAATCACGACTATGAGCTCTATCATCAAATGGTGGATGACCTGCAAATATTTCCCACATTAACATCCCAACACTATAGATATCTGTTTCTTTTGTGTATTTTTTTCCTTTAAATAGTTCTGGTGCAATATATGATACAATCCCATAAATTTTATTTGATGATTCTTCATCAACTGGTCCACATAATCCTAAATCTGTGATATAACATTCACCTCCTTGTAATAATATATTACCACTATGTAAATCACAATGAATTAAATCTTTTTCATGTATATAATATAATGCTTCACATAAACCCCTAAAAATATTAATTCTATCTTTTAATGTTAAATTATAATGATTTTTTTGTATATAATCTCTTAAATTTCCATCTGATCAATAATCAAGAACCATTGCATAATTTCCACCTTCTGGGAATTTAGTTATACCATGACAACGAACAATTGAGGTTGTTTTAATTTTACAATGGTTCAATGCCTGAAATTAATCATATAAATAAAATTAGTTAATTTAAAATAAATGTTTATTTTAAATAAGATCAATTACCTCATCAAAAAAAGGTTTTCCTGGATTACTTGAATTATTTAATGATTTTAATACAACATCCTGACCTCCAAAATAACTAAGCTCCTTTTTATTTTCATCATAATCATCAATAGATCCTCTTGTCCACCCAGCAGTATAAATAGAACTGAATCCACCTTCTGTTAGCTTTTCTACATTATAAAATTGCTCATAAGGTATCCATTCTATAATTCCACCTGGAAGAGATGAAAGCTGTTGACATTTTTGAATGAAACTATCAATTATCTCATTGCCAGATGTCCAAGTGCTGAAAATGCTCTGTAAGTGTAGACTAATACACTTTTCACAAAATTTATCAGAGTATCTTGTTGTTTTACAATTAATGCATTCTCTTTGTTCACCATATTTATGAATTGCATTTTTTAATTCGAAATTATAAATAAACTCTCCTCTACAATATTTCTTTTCATTTTCCAATAGTTCTTTGTTTTCATTGACTAATTGTAAAAAATAATTTTTTCTATTTTTATTGTCAGAATTAGAAGTAGTTGGAAAAGCAGAATAAGCAATACTATTCATTTCACTTTGAATTTTATCTACTAAATCTTCTCTGTCTGGTGTTAATAACTTGTATAAATTATTGAGGGACATTTTAACTTTTTAATATTTATATTTTAAAAAAAAAAAAAATTTCTTTTTTGTATTTCTTGCAAATCAAAATTTACCCAATCGTTTCTCACCTTCATTTGGAGTCTTAGGAATTTCCTTAATCAATAAAGTATAAATGAGCGAATAAAAAAAAAAAAGTAAATCCGAATGCAAATTTCATAAAATCTTTTACACTTTGACACGTTTTTTAGATTGTTTCATTTAAAATACTTTGATTTCGAATTCAATTAAAACTTTATATTATCCATCCTCATACCTTGATTTCAGACTTTAAATGATGAATTAGTAATCAATCATCTGGGACACAACAATACAATCAACTTCAAGAAGAATTTATGAAAAATGAAATGTAGTATTGTTCGTTTTACATTTTTTAACATTTATATTGGTGTGATCCTGAATTGAAGAAATTAAATTTATTTTCGAAATAAAAAACAAAATAAAGTAAATAATAAATATAAAAGATAATAAAAAATAATTAATTATCTACCCATCAACAATTTACCCAATTCTCCAACTCTAACTTATCAACTACTTAATCATGTTTAAATTAATTAATTAATTTCATAATTTAACAAGCTATCATTACTTAAATTCAATTTAGCAAATTCGTCATTTAATATTCTACTTGTATGATATGCTAATGGATGTGATTTGTGTACTTGTTGTGAATCACTACTGCTAATACTACTAATACCATTATTATCATGATTATTATTGATAATTTCTTCTAGTTGATTATTAGCAAAAACAAAAAGCTCTCTAATAGTTGGTCTTTTAGATGGATCCACATCCCAACACCTTTGCATCATTTGTGCATAATCACCAGTCATTCCTGGTAATATTGGTGGTTGTAAACCTGCACATATATTAGACATTAAGTCACAATTATGAGCTCTATCATCAAATGGTGGATGACCTGCAAATATTTCCCACATTAACATCCCAACACTATAAACATCTGACTCTTTTGTGTGTTTTTTTCCTTTAAATAGTTCTGGTGCAATATATGATATGATTCCATAAATTTTATTTGATGATTTTTCATCAACTGGTCCACATAATCCTAAATCTGTGATATAACAACTACCTCCTTCTAATAATATATTACCACTATGTAAATCACAACGAATTAATCTTTTTCATGTATAAAATATAATGAATTGCATAAACTATTAAAAATATTAATTCTATCTTTTAATGTTAAATTATAATGATTTTTTTGTATATGGGGCATACTGCAACAAAACCAGACAAAGTGAACATTGGTATTACCAAGAATTTCAGGGATCAAAATTTAGT